GTTAAACCCTCCGTAAATTTTAGCTACATAAGGAGTGCGCGCGACTTTGCAGTGACGCGCCTTCATTTCCGTGTGACACCTCTCGCATTGCCGCGGAGTTGATTTAGTTGCGTGACCCAATCTAACCTAACTCGAGTCTTCAGGGGCAGCTTCCCACCTTCGCGACGGATTTGAATCAATTTTTCGGAACAGGGTGTCTACAAGTCCGGAAATAGTACGGATTTCTTAAGGGGGATCAGGAAGTACTGAAAAAGTGCGGAAATCTCGTAAGAGATTCGGAATTTTTTCAATTTTTTGTGATTTTTGTCTCAATTTGAGTGAGGAATTCAAATTTTTGAAATTTTTCGAATTTCATCGAATAAAGGTACTGAAAAAGTACTGAATTTTTCTGTTGAGGAGGTACTGAATGTTTTGGGAATTTACCGAAAAAGGACTGATTTTTTGGCCTACCTATTTTAGTAGACACCCTGCGGAAGATCTCATTCAAGTAAATTTTAATTAAGCCCCGCTAGTTTCGATGGGTTTCTGAAATGATTTTTTTAACTTATTTTTTCGGAGAAAAGTTGCAACCTTTTTTTACGGAAAAGTACTCTAAGAGCGCTTTAAATCGATGCGTCGACTGTAGATCATTGGTAAGCCTCAATAATCGTGACGTCAACGAATTGGACTTTATCTTTGCTAAAGCCCTGCTGTCTAACGCGAGCTGACGTTAAGCTTCGAGGAAGAATAAGTAGAGGTCTTTTGAGTTGAGCCCTAAATTTTGGCAAGGCAGCGGATGTGTTCGACTGGTCACCGGACGGATGCAGACAATCCGTCGTCGGCGCGCTCGGATACGTCGCCGCCGTCGCGTCGCGACGCTCATTCCCATGTTGCAAAATTTATTCGCCTAACCTGTGGAAATTAAACGCCGGAGTGAACCAGGGTGTCTACAAGTCCGGAATTTTCGGAAAGTCCGGAAATAGTTCTGATTTTTAAGGGCGGTCCGGAAGTACTGAAAAAGTGCGGAAAATCCGCAGAAAGGTCTGGAATTTTTTTTAATTTTTTGTCATTTTTGTCGCAATTTCAAATTTTTGAAATTTCTCTAATTTCGTCAAATGGAGGTACTGAAAAAGTACGGAATGTTTCTGTTGGAGGAGGTACTGAATGTCTCGAGAATGTACTGAAAAAGTATCGTAAAAGTACTTATTTTTGACCAGCCTCTGTTAGTAGACACCCTGGAATCTCATTATTTTAATTGTGCACTTGGAACAGAATCCCCAATGCCTTTAGGCAAAAGGCGAGATTATCGATTTGACACCTTGTGGCGTTGATCGTACCTATCTAGCTAAAAAAAAAAAAAAAAAAAAAAAAAAAAAAAAAAAAAAAAATCCTTCTTTGTTGAACAATCTCTATCATAATTGAGGAATTATTTGGTAAACAGACGCAAGAGGCTTGTCCTGCTACTGAGATCGTGCAATTTTTCATACCATTTGCAGTAAATGAGTTGCATTCACAGTCGCCTCACTTTTTCACAATACTCGGCGAGGAATAAAGTAGAGCAGATTCAAGGAAATACTTTCGGCAGAGCTTCCGTATAGGTTCCTGTAAATCAAGAACTACGTCGCGGAATTTTTTAATTTCAGAATCATCCCACCATATCTCTTCAGATTTCCCTCACTCAAAATTATTTCTAATACTGCCATTGTCAGTGCTTTCCACCATAACTTTTGAGCAATAAAAATTTATAAATTTAATTACTTAGTATCGAGAGAGAGATTCGCGAATTCGCACGACAGCTCTCCACATCGAGGCAACCCTGAAATATCGGGTGACGCAATTAGCTAAAGATAACGCTCAGTACTCTCAAGTATGGCAAACGCACGCCTACTCGAGAGCAGCGCTGCGTTGCATTTTCAAGGTAAAATTCCGCAAAATGAAAGTGCATTGAGCGGGGAAAATCAAATGGGAATCTCTCGAAGGGGCAACCCTGTTTCGAGGAGTTATTTGCAACAAGGCTCGGTTGAAATAGGTCACCGACTCGTCACTACTAATTTGCTCGGCGAATTTCGCAATATTTCAGATAGGACTTATCGGCGCCCTGAAAAGAACAAGCCTTTTCTCGGCAACCGCCTTGCGTAGCGCGTCGACCCTTGCAAAATTTGGCGCAATGCGTATCGCGTCAGTTTTCTCATGCTTAGTTTTATCTAGAGCTTGCAGTGATGATTTTATTGCGCCCCCAATTCCTCCTTCGACTAAAAATTTAGATCGAGAGTTGATGGGAGTGGGAGCTCAGCCAATAGCTGCGAGGACTCGAATTCTACATATGTATTAGTTAAGTAGGTAAACATTTTGTCAGGAATTTCTGCCGTTATTTAATGTTTATATTTTGTAAGCCAATATGACATCTTGTAAAATTATACTGTTGTTGCTGAAAAAATAAAAATAAATTTAAAAAAAAAAAAACATGTTGCTGGGGTTTTGAAAATTGTCATTCGTCGCGTGAAAGTTTTTTTTCCGTGAAAAGGGGGTTTTATCTCTCTCTCTCTCTCTCTCTTGCAAAAAAAAAGAAATAAACATATTATTACAAAAAGTTTTAAGAATTTTCCATTATACGCGTACTTTAGACGTCTTGATAGTTTTAACCATCGCCTCCTGCCCGTTTATACCCTTAAAATGTGAAATCATAATTTTGACCGCGCCCCTATCAGAAATAAATTTGCATCAGTCCAATGTTCAAAATTATTCACCTTCAGCTTCGCTATTTTACTTTCTCTGCTTAGCAGTGGCCGTTCCTAAAGTAGGTACTTATCTGTTTTCATCACAATTTTTAAAAATGGGAATTTCTTAAGTCTCTTAGTGTATTTTCCGAAAGAAATACAGTATTGTTCGAACGAGGTATTTGTAATTCGCAGAACATCCCTTCGTCTGTGGCCATTTTACAAAGGTCGCGAGTTGGTGACTCGGGAAATGACAATCGCCATCGGCACTCAAATGAGCTGTACGTGCCGCTGGCTCCACCGTTTATTTGAACTTGTCTCAAAGTTCAACAACAATTTTATCAATGAGATTATGAAAATTGCTCAATCAGACTTGGCATGTTGCAACGGAAGAGGGGTCCACCACCCGCCACGAGCGGGTTGCGGGTTCACGGTTGCCAGATTGACGGTTTTATCTTAATTATTCAACAATAAGCTGCAGAAACTCGAGGATAACCAGTACGAAATCGGCATCTATGTGGGTATCTCTCTGGACGAAATAAAAATGGCCACGCGCATACGGGATTTCTTAACAAGTCCAATTAGTAGTTCGACACAATGCTGATCGACAATGATGAAACTGTGAACAAATAATTATTGTTGATTTCGTTTGACTTTTCCTCGGCCATTAACCTTAGACTTATCCCGTTCCCGTACTTAGTAGTTGGAATGAGCGGAAATTTTAGCTCGTTCGATGTCCGTCGCGTTATTGATGACTGAGGTATTCGGCTCGTTTCAAGAGCGCGTCTCTGTTCCAAGAATCAAGATTTGTCATATTTCAATTGAATCATCATGATGCTGATGACATGATGGAATGATGCGAGACGCAGAGCACATGTTATCAGTAGCACTTTCTTTATTCTTGCTCGGGGTGAGTCGGGATTATAGATAGGCAGGTACAGAGATTCTCCATTCTTGATTCTCGTCTGGATGAGATTTTTTTGGTTTTTTAATTTTTCCCCACGATTTGCTCACATTTGGAGTCACGGTCCCTTAAAGTTTCAAGAAAATTAATCATTTTTGTTTTTTCATTTATCTTTCTATTTAAAGTGTGGTTACCTATGTTTACGGAAATTGAATGAAAATGTCTATCCATAAATTATGTACCGCAGCCCTGGACTCCTTGTTCCACACAACGCACCCAAAACGTACGCTGGAACAAACGTCTCTTGGATCCAGAGTCCAGACTCTAAAAATATTTGACAAGAAAAAGTACTTTTGATTCAGTCGGGCTTTTGCCTGAATTAAAAGGAAATCCGCTTTAATTAAGAGACTTGGCTCTCGATTCAAGCAAAAATCCGATTGATAACACTTTTTCTTCTCAAACATCTGAGTCTCGACTCGAGAATTCTGGATCCAAGATACTTTTTTCCAGTGTAGGCTCAGGCCCCCTTTCCCTTTAGATTGTTAGGTTTATTATGAATTGCCTCCTGTACTACCGTGTTAAGGAAAAATGCCGTATGAACTTTCATGCGTCGCAAAATTTTCTTCGATTAAACGCGAATTTCCTGGTAAATTTATGACTATTTTCCTCTCAATTTTTCAGATAATTTAGTTCGCAATTCTACGTACAGATTCTGAAAATTTAATGGAAAAATATTCATTATTTTCCCAAAAAATAAAAATTTTATCGAGGGTGATTTGGCATTCCTCGAATGTTCACACGGCGTTCTTCCTTAGCACGGTAGTGCAGAGACAGGAAGGTCTAAAGCTTGCTGAGAGATATACCTCAATGGAATGGTTAAGAATGGAGGTGGTTGAAAGCGCGTCAGACGCACTTTTCAATTCCAGGGAATCGGGAGTCCTTGCTGACATCTCCTTCCATGGAAAAATATGATGAGGAGACAGAGACATTCTAGACTTTGAATAGACTAGATGAGTAAGCGGATGCGCCTCTGCGGACCGATTATTGAAATTGGTAGACAAAACGATAGGCAAAAAGGACATAGGGAGTATGGAGCGATCCTATTGGTTGAAATGGTTGGTTACTATAGACTAAGAGAGAAAATGATAGACTAACTATCGGGTTTCTCGTGGGTTGCCGTTAGTTAGTCTATTACCTACTGCCTTTGTCTATAGCAACCATGCCCGCTTCCACCAATAGGATCTCGCCATATCCCTTTTGTCTTCTTTGTCTATAGATTTGTCTATCAATTTCAATAATCAGTCCGCTGGTCTCGGGACATAATCCTCCCGCGGGAAACTCGGATCCCCGCCCACAAGTTGGAGCTGCGAACTGATGAAAATGGTGTTTTTCTGTTTCAGGTGGTGGGGAAAGAGGCGAACAGTCTGGTGCGCGCCCACTACCGGCTGGATTCGCACCCTCACGTCAACTCGCTGCACGAGGTGGTGGTGGGCGACAAGTTCCTTTACCTGATTTTCCCGCCCTCGCACGGCGACCTCCACTCGCACGTGCGGCACCGGAAGCGGCTCCGCGAGCCCGAGGCCCGCCGCCTCTTCCGGCAGATCGCCGAGACCGTCCGCGTTTGCCACGACAGAGGCATCGTTCTCCGAGATCTCAAACTTAGGAAATTTGTCTTCGCCGACCAAGAAAGGTAAGCTCCGTTCCATGCCAGGATATCTCTCTCCTTGACAGATTACAGGCGTATCTAGGGGGACGTAGCCTCAACGATGTAGAAACTATAGATTGGTGGTGGCCTACGAAAAAACGTAACACACTTGGAGCGGTCGTTGGTCGTTCGACAGACGGGCGGGGAGTGGAAATGGCCGATTGCTATCTTCGTCATAACCTCGAATACTTGGAATCTTACGGGAGTTCTTAGAATAAACGGTTTAGCGTTGAAATTTTTATCGTAAACGTACTTGATGAATGGCTACTAAGTTCCATAGATGGACACAGATTTTCAAATAGTAGGTTCTAAATTTGAAATTCGTCCGTATTCAGCAACAATCCCATAAGAAGCCATAGAAACCGACTATCTTCGTCGTCCTAACCTAATTGTTGCTCCTGGTGTGTTACGAATTTCACTGTTGGCGTACCATAGGAACCCCCTATCTATTGTTTCTAGGTCGTTGCGTAGCCCCCTACGCCGCGAACACAGGAAACACCAAAGAAAATCACAGGGAATTTTAAAAATATTTTAAGCCCTGCTTAAAGCCCATAGGAGGCTCTAGGGGTAGATGTCTTTGAGGGATAGTATGAGGGGAAAGGAGAAAATGAAAATTCCAAAAATTGCTTTAAATATTAAATTGACCCCTCACAAAGTAACAATGACAATTAAGGTATTCGACCTACACCGAAGCAGCAGTTTTACTTCTAATGTAATCAGCGCTCCGGCGCCGTGCCACGAGTAGAACTTTCAAGTGAGTAGAGAAGACAAACGAAAAACCTAATTACTGGGCTTGGTCGAACCCCGAAGTTACGGAAGAAGGGGGGGGGGGCGTCACGATGCAGAAGGTGCAATTGAGTCAAGTTCATTATCAGCATCAGCACAGTGTTATCGGGCACCGTAACGGAGAAACTTTCACCCTCTCATCTCCATCCGCCTCACGGTCGCGCGCAGCCAGCGGTTCCACCGACATCTGTGGCTTGTTCGTCGAGGACTCTCTCATAGAGCATAACGAGGAGCAGTAACCTTCGGCATTATTTTGAAAAAAAAAGTATGAAGACTTATTGAAATTCCCTGAAGTATTGAAGGTCGATTTGAATTCGATGAGTGACAACAGACTCGAGCTTGATCACTGGTTCGTGTAGTTTAAGGTCTTTCGAGTTGTCTTTGATTGCATGCGCTTTAAATGGTTCTTCAGCCGTTTGGAGGAGGATCTGATAATCGGTCAATTATTAATAAGGCCTCGATAGACGATCAAATTCCCGAACCAATTCTGATCAAAGTAGCATCAAAGTGTCGGGAGTCATCAGTCTTAAACTCATGAATTTGCTTCGTTTTAAAATGAAAACTTGGCGGAAATTTTTCCTGTGGCAGGAAACGATGAATGGTGGCACTCCGTTCTGATCTTACTTTGAACAAAAAAGTGCGGCCCGTCAAAATTTGATGGTGGATGGTGACCACCAGTCATCAGCATGTCTACTTTGATCGGAATTGGTTCAGAATTTGATCGTCTATGCAGGGCTATTGATAATTTCTGGATTTTAGGACGTTGCCTCAGAATTTCCAACTCTCTGTTCAGCATCCATCAGGTATTCCCACAAAAAAAAATGTTGCTAAAAGTCACCTTGAAATAACTCCAAAAATACGCTCCGAGTGTACGTCGCAAATAGTTTTGCCTCTCGATTTGCGATAAGGCGGTTTCAAAGCTGTTTGAAACTTTTTTAAGGTCAAATTTTGTGTAAAAATTCTTGACGGACAACAGAGTGCCCTGATGCTCGCAGATATTCGAGGAAACGTCCTGAAATCCAGAAATAATTATCAGTTCGGTTGACTATCAAATCGTTTTCCCAAATGTTGAAGAACCACCTTAACAGTGAACTCCTCCTTCTCTTCTTCTTCTTCTTCTTCTTCTTCTTCATCATCTTCTTCTTCATCTTCCTCTCCTTCTTCATCTTCTTATTCGTCTTCTTTAGTAGATTATTGGATCTCCTTCCCGTTGAGGAGCCTTCAGCCATCTAAAGACAAATTATTGAAGTTTAGGGTACGAGAGCGGGTATTAGTTGTGTTTTTGTGTAAGGAGGGAACCCTAAATTCGATCGAATTCCTTCAGTTTTACTTTTCACGGGTGGGTTTCACGGCTAGCAAGTCCTGCGCACGGGACCAGAAACCCGTGGCTCAGTCGGGAGGTACTCCGATTTTCCACGCGGGAAAGATACCTGGAGCCCGCGCAGCACCGCTAAAGGGGGGGGGGGCGATGGCGCCCTTGACTTTGGTTACGAGGAAGTTACACAAGCGCTCGGCGCGGGGTGTCGAAACGACGACCGCGAAGCCAGGAGAAGCAGCGAAGCGTCAGCGTCAGCGTCGGATGGCACGGTACCGGTCTTCGGGCATCATCATCATCAGCGGCCAAGCTGCACGGTCGCACCTCATCAAACAACGAAAAACGCAACACTCGGCCGCGTTGTCGGAGGGCTCTGAAAAAATCGGATTTCTCGTCGTGACGTCCGACGGAGTGACGTCCAGGCGGCAACGATCCGCGCGCTGATGCAATCAGCCCTCGAGTCCGTTTCTGTCCTCTCGTCTCGAGTCGTTGTGTGTGAAGGAGTGCGGCCATGACTGATGGAGCCTCGAAATTTGCATCCAGACGAATGTTCGGCCGTCGATCGCTCTGTCTGCTCGGTACTAGCTGGCGCCTCTTTATTGATCGGATTTCAAAATACCTAGGATTTTCCGATTTTTTTATTTTTTTTTTTTTATTTTCTTTTACATGTATTCTTACGCGGAGAAAAAAACCTCGTGCGTGGGACCCGAAGTTGAGGTTATATGGATCTCTGAAGTTTTCGGATTGAGCATCTGAACACTTTGGGTCTAGCTGTCGAGTTTCGAATCACACATCTGAAACTTCAGTTCTTGCATTTGAAGTACTTCAGACGTGAGAACCGAAGCTTTTCGGATGTGAGAACCGAAGTTTTTCGGATGTGAAGACCGAAGTACTCCAGATGTAAGAATTGAAGTTTCAGATGTGTGATCCAAACCTTTGCAGCTGGACCTAAAGAGTTCAGATGCTCAATCCGAAAACTTCAGAGATCCATATGACCTAAACTTCGGGTCCCACGCACGAAGTTTTTTTCTCCGTGTACTGGTCGAAAACTAGGGATCGTCCATGAAGTTCGTATTCTATTTAGAGAAGGCGATGTTGACTCTGCATTATAAGGCACTAGGGTGTCTACTACCAGTAAAAACCCGAAAATATCAGGATATGAATTTTCTCGTCAAAAAAGCAGAGAGGTTATCTTTCAGGTCTTCAATTTTTCATCGAACACTTGTTGATCGATATCGATCCTTGAAAGTTGATTTGGCGTATTAATTTCATTGAATTTGGTTTCCGATCGATGTAGTCAAAAGAAACTCTTTTGAGACCTTTATTTGGACTAAATTTTTCAATTTGGAACTATAAATTCTATAGCCCGGTTTGAAAACAACGTATGTGCCATTACTTTCCCTATGCACATAAGTGTTTTTCCAGAAGAGCCAGAATTTATAGTTCCAAATTGCAAAATGCAGTCCATTTTATGATTTTGTTTGAAGATAACTCAACTTTCTAGATGATTTGAGCGACTAATTGGTCGACGTCAGCCGCGTATTTAATGATTAAAATGTTCCGAGAGCTCGTTTTTCTTTGGGTGTAGTTTTAGCGCCCGCGTGGAGCCTTGAAGCAATACAACCGTGGAGAATTAAACTCTCCGGAGACCTAACCTTATTGGATCAGCTCGGTTGATAAATTTCGTCGGAAAGTGTAGGCTCGACACTTGGACGGCGCGTGGCGCGGCGCGGCGCGAAAAGGTCGCGGATTTTGCAAAGCGGAGCCTTGTTTCCAACGGGCTCCGACGCCCGCGGGCCGGGGCGCTCGCTCGCTATGAAGTAAGCTCTTACGTAAAGTTGTAGTGCACCGCAAGAATTCGAGGTCACCCCGATAAAAAACAATCCTGCAAGAAAGTTGCACGTCGTTCGGAGCGGAGGCCGTAGAAATGGATTTCGGCGGTGGCGCTCGAAGAAGGAGCTGGAGCCTTGCCCCGTGGACAAGTTGGGAAAGGATACATGCAGGCGGATGCATTCGCACAGATGATTGATGGGTGCTCGTTGCATCGCACAGATGTGTCGCTGACGAGCAATAGTGCTGCTGCAACCTTATAATTCCCATCTCTCGTCATCGTTTCTCGGTGTTGTCACTTTGAGGAGCGCGTTCCGAGTCCGAGTGAAGCTCCTTCAAGGTCCTCGGCTTGGTAACCATCCGACTCCTCCTGCGTAACAGAATGAATTTTGACTTCAGTCCCTTTATACTGAGAGTCAAGACAATGTGAATTCATCTCTGATTGGTTCCCGTATTTTAGGCCTTCGCAGTGTCACAAACGGGAATGAAGATTACATTTTCACCGATTGCAAAGATTATAATCTGGAATGGACCAGGGAATTACGGGTTCGCAAGGAACAAACGGGATGAGAGAAGGAACGGAGAAAGGAATTTGAGAATGGGCCGATCAAAGATTACGAAAAATGTTCAATTTCTGTAATCTTTATTCCCGTTTGTGACTCCATGAGGGGGCGTTGTCTCATGACTCTCAGTATAAAGGGACTCTAATTTTGACGTGCTAAGGAAGAACGCCGCATGAACATTCGAGAGTTGCCTAATTTCCTCCAATAAGATGTTCGTTTTTGAGGACAGTCATGAATATTTTCTCTTGAAATTTTCAGATGATAAAGATTAAATTACGAAGAAAATTCTCTGAAAAATTGGACGAAAAATATTCACAATTTGTGCGGAAATTTCGAATTTGATCAATGGAAATTTGGCAACTGACGAAGGTTCATACGGCGTTTTTCTGTAGCCTGGCAGAATTGTACTTGATAAGTAATTGAAAACCCGGAAAAGCCCCGGAAAATTCCCACCCTTGAAAAATCAGGCGATTTCGCTGAAGAAACTTAAA